CTCGACCTCCACATATTCCTATCAAGTGCCATGTCCTCGGAAATCTGAAGCATCGCCATATCCAGCCTAATCACCTCCCCCCAATACTTCTTAGGTCGCCCTCTACCTCTTCTCGAGCCCTCCACAACCAGCCGTTCGCTATCCATCCTACTATGCCCGCACATCCACCTCAACATCCTCATTTCTGCTACCTTCATCTTCTGGATATGTGATTTCTTAACCGGCCAACACTCAGCCCCATACATCATGGCCGGCCTAACCACCGCTTTATAGAACTTACCTTTGAGTGTCAGTGACACTCTTTTGTCACACAATACTCCAGATGCTAACCTCCACTTCATCCATCCTACCCCGATACGGTGCGTAACATCCTCGTCGATCTCCCCTCCCCCCTGGATAACCGACCCAAGGTACTTGAAGTTGTCTCTACTTTGGATGACCTGTGATTCAAGCCTCACATCCACGCCCACTTCCCTCTGCGCTGAACTTACACTCCAGGTATTCCGTCTTTGTCCTGCTAAGCTTGAAACCCTTAGATTCATCTTCTAAGGTTGACATTGCATATTACAAATATTTTTGAACCATATTTGCTGGGAGAACTTGTTGGTCCTTTTTCCGGTTTGCTAAACAACAATTCCTGCAAGAATAGTTATTTGGTTTAACTGCTTCGCACTCTTCATCTTCTAACTAAATGGCGCTCAATATTGTTTCTCTTCTTGATCAGTATTTTAAGGGGGATGTTATGCCTCTAGACAGAGTAAGAACAAAGAGCAACAGGAACATGGAAATAATGACACGTGAATGCGCCAATAACGCCTAGGTATTGCCCTTGCCGGGATTGTTGTTTGATCTAGGGGGCTTCTTCAAAAATCTCCTTTAGGTGAAATCTTAACCAGGGAAAAGGAGGAAACAGAGTAATTCTTCAATAATCTTCTTTAGGTGAAAACTTAGTAGGGAAAAGGAGGAAGCACAGGGATTATGGATGAACGGTTAAGGTCTGGCATAGTCTTTAGTTTTGGTACTTTCCTTACTGCTAATAGCAAATTTGTTTTCCGTTCTACTAATAGCTAACTGTATATTTTCTTTAGGACTATCTTCTCATTCTTTTACTTATCTGGTCAATCAAAGGTTGAATTGTGTTTCACCTTCTCAGCGAGATTGAGATAAGCAATCGTACATTGAAGGATAAAGCATTTTGGAAGCGAATTTAGCTTCTGTGATCATGAGAGTACAGTGGGGGCACCAAAGGACTGAGGAATGTAGGAAAAAGAAAAAAGATACGGAAATGAGCTTTGTCTAAAGGGACATGTCTACTTTAAAGCAAACCAAAAAAAAAAAAAAATTCTTGTCATCTTTGTTCTTTCAAACAACAGTTGTTCCTACAATAATAAATTCTTTTATCATGTGTAGGGTATCTTAAATTTAACTTCCTTTTTTAATGAATTCTTGTACATTCTGTTCTGTCTTTCACAATATTAAAATAGTTAGGTGCAATTGTTATGTTTCACTAAATGAGAGATTAAAACCCTTGTCTTAGCATTTCAAGTGTACTTCTTATGATATCAACTACTTCCTCCGTTTCAAATTAGATGAGGTAGTTTGACTCGGCACGAAGTTTAAGAAAAAAAAAAAACTTTTCAAACTTGGGGTCTTAAAAACTTTGTGGGGCTATGCCATTTTTATGGTTATAAAAGCTTCTCATTAAGGGTAAAATGAAGAGTTTAAAGTTGCATTATTTCCACATTTAGAAATGTATCATTTATTTTGGAACAGACTAAAAAAGAAAGTATCTCGTCTAATTTTAATTTGAAACAGAGGGAGTATCTATTATCATACTCTAAAAATTTGAACTTAGGTCAATGTAGGCAAGCTTACACAAGGAAAAATAGCTAATCCGTGTATGAAACAATGTCAAGATTTGATAGAGATGCATTGACTTGTATTGTGGTTCAATTTGTTGATATGTGTCCTTTGTGAGCCATTAAATTGAGGAAGCAAGGGAGAAATTCTAGACTCGTCACTCAGCATATGCAACTTGTTTTACTCTCCTACTTTTCGCGTTCAATCTTGCTGATTGTGGATTTGTCCTTTCATCTCCAAGATTCGCTCTTTTCCTTTCAACAACAGGATCAATAATTTGTTCAATCATTCTGGCCAACACTTGATCATCTCCAACTTGGCAATAATATTATCAGGAATGGAGAAAATCGGAGGGTATATGGCGATTCTCAAGGCTTGTTTTTTAATCAGGGGAAGAACAGCAACATCATTATCATTGGCCTTGATTGTCAACTTGGCCCTAGCTGCAGTTGAAGTTCTATTTCAATACAGAATTGTCAGAGCTTATCATCACAAAAGAACAAGGCTTTCTTCTATTGCTTTGGAAGGAATATTCATTGCTCATTTGTATTCCATTCTTCTGGTTCTTGATACCATTTCCAGCTGTGTTTTCTTAAAATCTGTAAGACAGATTGCCAGAGGGATGAAGAGGGAAGTTTCGCGTATCAAACTGAGATTGAAGACAGAGATCACCATGCAGTTCTGAGGATTAAGACTTTAGAGGAGCTTTCTTGATTTTTTTTGAATAATTCAACAGATTCTGTATTATGTTACAATTGTCATATACCAGAAAATATTGTTTCAAACACGAAAAAGAGGAATCAATTTTCCAGTTTATTGGTGTGTAATAATTATATCTCAAGAAAACTCATTAGGAAATAGGGAAAGGCTGCAAGTTTTATACAGCTCCATACTCTATATTCCATTGATTCTTTTTATGTAGGCCTGCAGCTTCGTGTACAGTTGCAAGCAGTTTAAATTCTCCAGATTGACCAAGTGGCAACTTACCTTCCAAATCTAGGAAATTCAGACTGTACATTATCAATATTACAAGATGTTCTTGAATTACTTGTGGACGGTCAAGCATGAAAATTAACAACATATCAAGAACTCAAGAATACATGTAATGCAGATAACTTTTCTGGCAACAATGAATGAATATATCATATTATAGCCAAATTTGACTCTAAGAAAAGTGGGAACTTATCCCACAGCCTACATTTTGTTACATTGCTATTGCTAAAAATACCTAACTCTATCCTCTTCTATGTTTTCTGTACAATTTTCCGTATTGGATTCCCATCAAATACTGACCAGGAACCTGTTTCTATGTTACAATGAAAAGAATCAACTTGATCTCTAAATACAGGGGTTGGGGCTTTGTACAAACTACCCATGTTACACTTGCAATTTACAGTTTGTATGGCATAATCTGCATGCATCATGGTGAATGCCAACTCCGCATGTAACTACATTTGCACCAACGACAGCTCCATCATGTTGGTTCAGCAAATGCATACCCAAATTTGCATTATTAGATGCAATGTTCTGTTTAATCATGCAGCACACTCCAGAAGGGACAGCAGTCATGATCACCCGTCAATAACAAAATCCAGGTGATCGATTCTTAGACCAATGGATTGCTTGCATCATCCAAGAGCTCAGACAACAGCGTGTTGTCTTCAGCTTCTCTCTGCAAGTCACTCCAAGAGCCCGGACGGGAATGTCTCTTTTTCAGTTTCCCTCTGCAAAGCACTTCATTGCATTTCCAGGTTCACAAGCTTTTAGTATTGGACTTTCTTTCTTGAACCCAGAGAAAGCCAAAGCCAATAGATTAATATTGGAGGCTTCTGGTTTGACTTAAGACCATTGTCCTTAGTCAACACGACAGTTAACCAACGGATGAAGGCCAATACATGACACCAAAAATTCCCTGAAGAATGAATCATCCCTATTTACTTCTCACCCTTCTTTGTTAAGTTACTTCCTTCCGCATTCTCTGTTTCGGCTTCCTTCTGAACTTTCTTCTTATCTAGTTCAGCCTGCTTCAAGTTCTCTTCATGGGCTTTGCGGAACAACCTCACAAAATTTAAGAGGGTTGCGGTGACTGCACATAGTATGAAACAGAAAACACACAACAAATAAGTAGGAGTCAAACCCTCAAAAGCACTAGCACGCAGATGAGAACAATGAAGCATATAAAGGAATGCAGACATACATTCAGAATTTCTCTGAGTAAATTATTTGCACGTGACACAAATAACAGGTGATACAAACTTGGCAGTTAATCTTAGTTGATGCTAATTGGAATTTAATTTTGGTTGATGCTGCATTTACATTTCATCCGCTGTTTGTCAAAGTTCTTCTTAGTCTAATTAGAGACTTGTATGTCTATGTAGATAAGTTGTTTAGATATCTCTAGTTTCAAAGAATGTTAATTTCCTCTCGACAGATTATTTAGTAATGGAATCAAGCAGACCAAATAGAGTGGAATATAGATATAAACGGATTCATACAGCCAACCCAACTAATTTGGAATTGAGGCATAGTTGATTCATGATAGCTCATTAACTACAGAGGAAAGCTTAAGCTCCATCCGCAGCTATGTTCCAAATGGTCTCAGAGCCCTAGAAAATGTAAAGCTATACTAGGAAACTACTTCACATATGCTAGATCTACCAAGTCTAATAACTCAGCAATCTTGTTGGCAAATCCATGTCTGGTACAATCTTAATTGAATCAAACTATATCTTTCTCTGAAACAGGCCGAGTGTATTATGGAGAAGTTTAGATTCCCAGAGGATTATCAGTATAGTACCTGTTATATACTCCCTCCGTCTCAATTTATGTGATGGTATTTGACTAGCCATGGAATTTAATAAAAAAAGGAAGACTTTTGAAACTTGTTGTCTAAAATGAACCATAAATATTTGTGTGGCAATAAATCATCTCATAAATGGTAAAATAGACATTTTAGAGTTAAATCGTTACTAAATATAAAAATGTATCATTCTTTTTTCAGACTTCACTAGTGGGATTACACTGAGTTTGTTGTTGTCATTGTCATTCTTTTTTAGACTGACCAAAAAGGAAAGAGTGTCACATAAATTGAAACGCAATGAGTACCTATTACTATGTTCGGTGCAAGTCACTAGACAATGTCCAGAGGATTAGCAGTAGCCCGAGATGTAGTACACCTATTACAATACTTTCATACTTGATAGTGTAACACCGGAGGACATCAAAGGCAACAATGTAAAGTTCACAACTATAGGGAACCACGTTCATCAGCTCAATTTTGTTACTGGAAGATCAATGAGGGGTTAAAATATTTTATACAAGTGCTACCTTGTTCAAATGGACATTTGGCAGGATCCTCATTAAAATATAGTGCAAGTGCGTCTGCATTTCTGCCCTGTGCATCAAGTAAAACATATCATTGACGTTATAGAAATTGATTGCGTTGCATAATATAACAAAGAGAACTAAATACAAAGGAAATTACCGCCACGGAATACAACTCCCTGAGAGAGCCAACCTCTGCTTCAGACGCACCAATGAATTCCTTTAAGGTCTGGTTTGCAGGACGTAGAAAAACAAACTTATAAGGACCAAAATATGGTGCCCATTTTACTAATTTCAAGGTAAGAAGTGAATGTAACTTAATCGCATCATGGGAATGAATCCTATCAACTTATATGTTAAATGAATAGCGAATTAAGGAAAGAAAGTAGATATGGCAAAAGCTAAAGATATCCAGTTTCATCAGGAAGCCAAGTAGTGCTAGTCCATTAAAATGCAGCTGCAAGCTAAAAGACTATTCTATCCAGCAATCAAGTAGGAGGAAGAAATGACAATCACAATTCTTTTTGTTATCTTCCAGCCAAATGCGAACAGCAGTGCTGCACTTCTCCAGAAAACTTTTACCCTCTTTCTTGGGAATTGGGGATACATCAATGAAGAGAGAAGACAGATAAAGCAAATTTCTCAATGCCACACGGCTCGATAAAGGACAATTTGCAAACAGAATGGACTTTTTCATCCAATTTTCAGTTCTACCGGAAGAGGGAAGAAACTACAAAGTCCTAAAATGCAGTATTTCAGCCCTCCTAACGTGTAGGACACAATAAGAATGTGAACACATGCAAGTTAGGCATCGTTTATGAAAGACTTACAAGCACCGCCCTACCTTGCAAAAAATTTCAGACACGGGGCCATCATTCTCAGATGCCTCCAGTTCCTTCTTAACTTTTTCCAGCCCCTTGATGATTGCTTGCATTTCTTCAGCCAAAGACTTCAATTGTATCTGCACGGAGAAACTAATTTCTAACAAATCCGAAATAAAATAAAGAACTATCACCAGAGAGAGATAGGTAAAATATAACCTTTGATGCAGCTTCCACGCTTACAAGATCTTCATGGAAGTCTAAAAGTGCTGGTGACTTTGAAGCAAGAACCTGAGAAAAGTGAGGTAATGTTAACACTGCAACAACCTCGCATAGTATAATCAGTTAATAATGCCTTATACAGAGAGGAGGGGTAAAGAAGGACAAAGATATTCAGGTAAAGAACAAAAAGGGGAAAGAGATTCTCTGAGACAGAAATGTTCAATCAAGAGAATAAAGAAGCATTCAATGGAAGAGAATAAAACTACGATAAGTACGAATGGAAGTCAAACACTCCTCTACCAGCTAAAAAAAGCAATGAATATCAGTTGTATGAGGTAGAAAACTAGTGACATCTTACATGAGCATGGCTTCATTAGAACATCAAAAATATTATCTAGAATATTCTTAATGATTATGTTCTTCAAGAGATTAATTAAGAATATTGTGTAGAATATTCTTAAGATTATGCATAATTAAGAATCCCAAAAATATATTTCATTTAGCTCAAGATTCCTTTATCAGAAACCCGCTTGTATGTTGTTTTCTCTTTTTTATATATAGGATAGGGAGCTCTAAGTAATTTTGGGACTCTTGTAACTATTAGAACTCTAGTTCTAGTAAAAGATAAATTATCATGTAAGAGCTTAACGTTGGAGAAATAAAAACCAAAGATAATGATAATGCAATCTCTTTTTAGTTACATCAATATGAGCTCCAGATCTAGCCCAATACGACTTTTTCTTTTGAGATTGACATGAAATAAAGATTAGACGGTTTCATTTGAAGGAGATAACAATCCAAGAAGTTCAGAGTTACATGAACGGGAGTTTCATTTGACTTAAGGTTCAGAAGGAGGCAAATACTTAGATGGTTCGGGCAGAAATGCGTGATGCCACGCACCATGAAGGAGCCACTGTTCAGTTAGGCGTAGAAGACAGATGACGAAGGGCGTGAGATGTTGCTCCACTAGCACTCATGTGGGTTGTATGGAAAGAGAAAAATAGGAGATATTGAAGTGATAGAAAATTATTTTGTACATCTAAAAAAAAGCCTCTTGTCCCTACTTTTTTTGTATACAGGAGTTTTCTCTCCCATTCATCAATAAAACTATTTTACCTTATCGAAAAAATAAATATTTAGACAGAGGGGAATAGTGTGAACAAAAGCAGCTTTTCAGGAACAGCAAAGATGAATTTACGGTACCTTACAAAGATAATGCATGAGTGTCATCTTGTTGTTAGTAGCACGTGTATCAGTGAGCTTCAATAGACTGTCCAACTTAAATCCAATGGCAGAACCTGAAGTAAAGAATGACATGGAATTTAGTATTGAAATTTTAATATCCCAAATTTCAAGCTTCTTGACGACACAACTTACAACGTCCTCAGCATGAAATCAGGTCTTACATTCCACCGAACTAATTCAGCCACATAACATAAAGCATAATTTCTTAGTACAAGAAGCAGTAGTAAGTAACAACTAACAATTGTGCTCATATTATTCTCATAAACACTGACTATATTTCTACAATTTTTCAAAACTTTGCAAAGCCTAGCAATTTAATGAATTATGTGACTTAATTTTATCAGTTTGCACTCCGAACATGTGAAACTAAAGGGACTCCACTGGAGCAGAATGAATATAGAGGATTCATATTGCCACCCCAACTAACTTGGGATTACCAAACGACATACTTAGGGTCAAAGTTCATGCTACTTATTTAGGTACAAAATGCTATAAATAATTGAAACCAAACTCCCCTTAATTAATCAAACAATTATTCCCCATTTTAGCAACAAGCAATTATTGCTTTGAATTTTCCCCATAACCAAAGAGCTTAAGTTCCAAAGTTGTAGCATTTAAGAAATTCAATATTGCATTTAGAAAATCAAAATTTCCCCATTACTTTATATTTAAGACAGTTGCAGGTTGTGAAAACCTACATGATGGGAATCAATGGGTCGAACAGATAAAATGCTTGTAATGCTTACTGAGACATTTTAAAGACAAGAATTCTTACCTCTGGCAGTTCCCTGATTTAACGTATTCCCTAGAAACAAAATTTTCTTCATTATTTCCTTCAATTTGGAAGAATTTCGGACCTGCTACATGCACATTGTATTTTGTTAAAAATAAGATTAAAATGAAAGAACAAAGAAGAGAAGAGATACGCAAAACCTAGCAAATTACCTCTTCGCATGCAGAGTTCACAGTGGTTAAGCTTTTCTTGAAGTCTGTCACCTGAAATGAAGCTAAATTCAGATGACACAGAAATTAATTTAGTAAAGAAGATATCTAAATGTACACAAACCTGAGATTTGAACTGAATCTTGAAGAGAAACACTCTTAATTTCGACTCTACTCGTGGCACCTTCATCAACTCCAAAAAGAACTGACAGTCAAAGGTAAAATCAGGAACACCGGTGAAGCATGGGATCTAAGCTACAAGGTACTGTAAAACGATAGCAAGTATCAGCTATTCCTCAAATCTTGAAAGTGCAAGACATCCAACGGCAGGGAAAGGAAACAATTCTCACAAGAATTTCCCACCAAACTTGATAATGGGATACGGGAGTACATCATAAATTCGACTTTAACCACTCTAATCATTCAATCATAAGAAGGTTTAAAAACATTGTTAAAGTAGTCATCGTCATGACTATCTTCCACCTCCCATGATCTCTCAACTCAGTTATCTCTAAAACATTGAAATTCAAATAGTTAAATCCTTTTTTCACCAGGGGACGGCCAGTCGTGATGTTCATCATTTGCTTAGAACTCAAGAGATGTTCATCATTTGGTTAGAACTAAAGTTACTTCCTGAACAATTAAAATTTGGTCAATGAGATTACGTCTTTGAAACAGAAGGCAGTTGAGGTTACTGATGCTATTAGATTGTAAAAGAAGATTTCAGATTGGGCAGTCTTGTCCTGTTACTTAAGGGTAGCTACCATGTCCAACCTAGTAAAGCATCATGTCGTTACATTCCACAATCTAAGATCCAATCATCAGATATAAGTTTACAAAATGTTGCTTACACATTCAGTTCCGAAATATAGCTGGATTGTTCCTTGAAAACCAATCCCAACTTCATAAAGCACTTACGACAAGATATCACGGTAAAGAGAGATGAAACTTGCAAATGATAGGCATGTATAAATTATATTATAGTAACATAAAACAAAAACCATCATCATGCACTAATCAGATAGTAACTATACAATTGATGTGCTGACCTGTTCACACTTTCCGAGAAGCTCTTTGTCACCAGTGTAACCCTGAGCATTTGTTTCAGTAAACAATCATTTAATACATTTAAAAGTAAAAAAAAAAACGTTTGCACAGATATCAACTGAGATAGAGGAGACTGAAAGGAGTAGATGACTAGAGAAGAATGGGAAATCAAAGTCAACATGAAGAAAATCTTGAGACTGATAAACTTCACCTTAAGAAGATCCATCTCATCTTTTGTAGGACAAAACTTTATAAGATTCTCCACCTGATCTGCATCTAAAATAGACTCATCCATTGCCAGTGCAGCTGCCTATGGTCCATAACAGAACAATTGTCATTGCGTAACAAAATAGAACATCGTGAGGACAAAGAAAGAATATTAATCAATCAGCTTGTCCTCAATCTCAGACCAGTTGATTATGCTATACGAATCCTTGGTAAACAGTCTGCTTTATTCGTTAAAAGTTTCTCTTTAAATGTAAATTAATCATTGGTTCTCTAAATCTTGCACTTATCTCTACATTGAGATCACCCACGGATAAGCAAGAATATTCAGGAGAAAGGGAATCACCTAGGTTTACCAAGTCTAGTCCAGCATGTACAACCACGAAGGAAAGAAAGTTTCTTTTTATTTTTCTCCTTTTCTCCGTTAACCCTGACTTCAAGTTTTACACATTTCTGGTACACCTTGACAAAGAAGGAGAGACTAGCCTAATTTGCCATATTGTATATCAAAAGACCAAAAACGTAAAAAGAAAAAGTAGAAAGATGAAAGAGATCTAATAGAAGAAAGGAAAGTCCTATGAGGTCTCAACATGTTGCATGGGACCACAATGAGAAGACTAATTAACAGCAACGTAATTGCTCCATTAACATATCAACCACATTTTTTTTGTGTCTGAGGATTGCAACAGCCTGACAAATTCTTCTTTGCTATTTCTATTGAACAAAGGTAAGTTGGGATAATACCCATCTATCTCAATTGTTTGACCTACTTCCTAGGTATTGTTGTATCCTTTTCAAGCTTAAACATAGTTTGAGTGTAATGTGCATAGGAAAGAAAAGGTAGGAGGAAAACCAAATAAAGTATCTTTTGTATCATGACTTGATAGGGATGGTTGGTTCGCATTATCAGTTTTTCTTCCCTGTATAAGCCCAAAGTAGTCTTGAGTATTGTGAACCATGCTTACAAGAGCAAGTAGCTTTCCTTTGTCCCTACTTTTCTTTTTTCGGTAGATTAAGCACATATATTTAGGCCCTAGAATTTTTACAATGTGATCTGGAAGAAATGTTTAAACTAGTAGGATAACGGAAGAAAGCAAATAATCATCAAAGTCAGGTCACTGACTAGAGATCGGTATTTTCTTATACTATTAGCCATGAGCAGTGTTAAGCGTGACTTCTAGGTGAGCTGAAAGAAGGGAAACTCAGAACATCTGATGTTATAGACTCACTATCCTAAACACAGATATAGAATCCCACTATCCTATTCAGTTATCTTTCGTGACTTAACCCACATATACTCGAAAGCAGCTCCTCTCTCTCTCCCTCTGTGCAATCAGATCAGGATGTTATTTTGTCTGTAAAAGTAAAGGAGGCAAGCCTTCAAAAAAGAAAACCAAAGAAAATAGAAAATAATGAAGAAAAGCACTAAACTAACCATCATGTCTGGAAGTGGCATTTTCACCTTTGTGAGCATAATCTCAGTATTATTCGCCCTTCTTAGGTCAACCTACCAAAGAAATACAGGAGAAAATTAGGAAAAGAAGAACTCAAGCGAGCAGTTAGAAAACAAGGAAAAATAGTTCCTCAAATTAACCAATGTCAAATTCTCATAGAAAGCAACAGTAGTTAATCATCCAAGAGGGATCTGGGGAAAGAAAAGAAAGAAATAAACATGAAAGAACCACGAGAGACTACAAGAATAAAGTATCAAATCAATAGCATTATTTATTTCTTAGATTCTTTGCAGACAGTTCCTAGAAGAAAGGTATTGAGTCATATTAATTACCAGATGAACCTTGTCCGGTTTAGATTCAGCAGACTTCTTCCGTCCTCCAGATTTACCCGAACTACTTGACTTGGGGGTGGCAGAGAAAAGAACCTCAATTTCTGACACATCAAACTCTGGTGCACTTGATTTGGAGTAAAATTATCAGTACTTCATTTTAGTTGAATATAGGCACTGTCAAACTAAAAAATCATGGAACATACATTTGAGGCTCTCCATGTCTCTGTAGTTCCTCCCATAGGCTTCCCTGTAGTGCCCTGGTTACCTTGCTCCAGTGCAATGGCTTTAAATTAGATCTTGTCCGTGAAAGTATTGGAGCTCTCCCAGCAGGAATTCCTCTGCCGGCTGCCCCAGGTCCTTTAGCGCCAAATAGTGGCGGTGGGGGAGGTCCACCACCTGGAGGTCTTGGAGCTCCAGGTG